AATGTTACAAAACAGACATAGGAGATAATAGCCTAAGTGGCCCTAATTGACAAAGAAAAAGTACTTTGAAACATGAAAGAGAACCAACAATGAAAATTGTGAATGCTTTTCTAAATCTGTGATTGATTATGCTAATATTTATTGCTGCAATCATGTAGTATTTGCTGATACATTCAATGAGTAACAGAGAAAAAGAGCTCTCTTAACTGGCCACATTGCCAAACAAAATATTTACAAATAAATATATTTGAATTAAGGAAAATATGAAATTAGGCCACAGTCTTTTAGCATACTTAGGTTATTCTAATTCTAGAGTTTCAGGTAAAATAATATATAATGATTCTAATCTAATTGCAGGAATCACATACTATTTTAACTGAAAGACTTCCTGCACTGAATAGATGGTTAATGATGTCAGTGTTGAAAATGCTTTTCACATATTATTGTGTACGAGTGATGTAAATTACACAGTATGGTCAAAAGTGGGAAATCTGGGGTTTGCAGTGCCAAAACATCTTGGGAGTACCAGGTTGGGAAAAGTGACATCAGATAAGCCTGGGTATTCTACTGAAAAGAGTGCTTGAATCTAGAAGAGTGACTTCCTCATGGAAACCTACAGTCGGTTCCCTTGTTTATCTAGCAATATTTTGTACTCCATAAACGTACTGAGGCTTTTTAATAATAAAATTGTTTTGAGACAAGTATATAGCCAGCAATTATTTGAGGTTAGACTGGACAACCTGAGAATGATATTTAAAGCCCAAAGTAACATTGTCTTTGGGGAAACAACCCTGAAACAAATTGCACAAAGCAAATTTGTCTGTTTTTTTCTTGGTTTAGTTGCTTGCTTGCTGAAAGAGAGACTGTGAAGAGTTAGAGCTCATTTCTCAGGGAGACTACATATCTGTCTTGTAAGTTTTCATTACGAGGTTTTAAAAAAAATCCCAATTACAACAGTACGGAAGAGTAAAAGTGGTTTCACAATTGGATGATATAGCACTTCACTGCCTATAACTCTCTCCTGCTGAAATAGTATATAACCCTTAGCTGTTTTTACAGAATTAATGCTGTAATACTGGAGAATGTTTAGCCTTTTTGCCCTTATTCCTTGACTATTAATTTATGAGAGCCTTTACATCGATGGAAAGAGTTTCTTAACACCTTGGGGTTATGGAGCTGAATGTGACTGCCTCTCAAGAAAGAAATCTTGGGCAAAGCTTGGCAGGATGTAGAGATGTAAAAGTCTGAGAAATTTTGAAAACAAAAAATAAATAATGAAATGAAAAACAAAAATATTGGGAAAATTTAAATGTATACTTACTTTCTTGTTGTTTGGGGTCTGTGTGTACACACTGTATACAAACACAAGCACATGCACATATACATAGCATATATACATACACATACAAACACACACACACACACACAGAATTTAAAATTTGGGAGGAGTGGTGCACCTTTTAGCCAGGTAAGGAAGCAGGGGATCTGCAAACCAGACTTCTGCTCTTCAGCAGGTCACTGAAAAATATATGAATTTGAGAAAGTACATTTATTGCAGATCATTGATTTTTGATAAATTGTTGATTTAGAGAAAGCACATGATGAAATGAATTGGCTTGAATTATGGAATGTTTTACACAAATATGGAATTGAAGGTTGCTGAATGCAATAGGATAGAAATAAAGCAAACATGAGAATTAATGGAATTCTAAACAACTGGTTCAGTTCTGAGCAAGGAATGAAATAACGATGTGTGATGACCCTTTGGCCATTTAACGAATTGATGAATAAATGTATAAGGAATGTTTGTGGTGGTGTGTGTGATAGAATGTCTAACAGAACCTGGGAACATGGAAGAGGAAGCAGAAGAGGGAGGAAGTACGGAAAAAGATTCCTGAATCCAGGGGAGGGGAAAATGTGAGAAAGGGGCTCAGTCTAACTCCATCTTAATTACTCTAGGCATAAGTTGAGCTGGAGAAGACTTTCAAATTCTGTTACATTATTCTACTAGCAATAAAACCTTTCCAGAAATCCAAGTAGTTCTTGTTTCCTGTGTTTGACTGTCTCAAAGGGCTTGAGAGTGTGTTGGTTAGAAATGTAAATTTGCACATAGTATTGTCTGTAGATAATGTTTTTTTTAATGTTCTTTTTTTGCCCTAAGTTAATTGTTTTATTGCATTATAAAATACAAATAATACATTATAGAATGCATAATATATAATACATTATAGAGTACATAAATACAGTGGTATTTATACAATAGAAACTTGAAACTGTTAACACTCTGATTATTAAGATAAATTTAAGCCTTTAAAGATTAGAAAAAATATATCAATGCTAAATATGGTTTATAAGAAATTAATTCTGGGGGAGATGGGTGGCATACAGAATAAATAAATAAATGGTTGCTTAAGTTGTGCAGCTAATGCTAAATATGCCATTAATAAAAAGTTGCAAAGTGCATTACATTATTTTGTAATATGAAAAGGTTTAGATCTTTGAGCTTAATATTAAACACTAAAGTCTCCTCTGTATTATTATTTATTGTTATTGATGAATATTAAAAGAAAGAAAAAAAGAGGAAAGAAAAGAAAAAAAGGAGCTGCTTGGAAAAGGTAGTTATTTAATCTCTAACTTCTTTTCTTTGCTCTAACCAATTTATAGTGTTTATCAGCATTTTAGACCCCCTTAAAAACCATACAGTAAGTGTTTGTATTTGGCTTGCTGTGTGATGTATTGCATATATGCAAACCATTCTTGCTTCAACCCAAATGATTTGCAGTTAATGTTAAATATATTGTATGATGGAACATGGTGTATGGATATGAAAATTAATATATCAAAGATCAAGGTAGTTGTGATTGACAGGGAAAATGGAATGAATAATTGCAAGTTATACATAAATGGTGAAAAAGTAGAGCAAAGAGAGTTTCTGTACCTTTGTAGAGTGTTACTACATATGGGGAAATGGATGGAGAAATTTTAAGATGTACAAATGCTATTAGAAAGATAGTGAGTAGCAAATGGACTGTTGTAAGGAATCAGTGTTTGTTGAAAGAAGCAAATATGGCCATTTATAAGAGCATGATTCTGCCCACTTTGTTAAATGGAAGTGAGCATTGGGTATTTAGGGAGAAACAGAAAAGTAAATTGAATGCAGTGGGAATGGAGTGCTTAAGAGCTGCCAAGGTTGAGGAACCCTGGTATAGAGAGAACAAATGAGGACTGAATTGCAGAAAAAATATATATGAAAGAAGAGCGAATGGGTTAACAGGAGGAGAAAGATCAAGAAAGTCATGGTGGGAAGATCACAGTGAGAAGTTTGGTGAGAAGTTTAAAGAACTTAAAGTTTATGGTGAGAAGTTTAAAGAACAAAAGGTAATGTAGGAAGCAGTGAATGGACATGGTGGAAACAAGGATTGTTTGAAAGGATAGAAAAGGTTTGGAAAGGTAGAGTGAATTATGTTTGTGTAAACTAGATTCATCTGTGTTTCCTTTTCTTTTTCATCTCGCATGCCTTAATTCCTTTGGCTTATTTCTTATTCCTTTTCTGTACTTTATGTAAAGTTGCTTACCCTGAAAGAAAATAGTATAATGTGTATGTATGTAATTAAATAATAATGTCATATACATATTATAGTTTGTAGCTATGACTATAAGGTGTAGCATTTTATGGTACTTTTTAAAGTTTTTTTAAAAGATGGAAAAAGGAGGGACACACAAAACATGATAAATACAGAGATAGATAGGTAGAGACTTTTGCATACTTGGGGAACACATAATATCATTTGAAGTCCATAAATACGTGTATTAAAGAGAATGCCATTTTAATTCCCTTTTCCAAGCAGCTGTTCAGGAGGTATATTGCAATGGGGGCCAACCACTGTGTTATTTAATAATTCTATGTTGAAAATGCTCTGAAACTAATTTTCCCAAATATCTGCAGATATTTGGCAGATAGAACATGAATAGTACCCATAAGAAAACTAAGCATCAGAACCACGGAGAGTTTTTAAGTTTAGCTGCTGCAAATAAAATCTCCCCCTAAACCTCTCCCAGTGCTTAGTGTTTCTTAGATTTCAAAATCTTCCTCCCTCCCTCCCTCCCTCCCTCCCTCCCTTCTCTGAGTGATTGAAAGGAACATAATCAGTTGTTGACTGAAGGGCAGAGAGGAGGGCATTTTTTGCTTTATAACAATCTGTATCAAACCAAGGTTTAGATCTCTTACGAAAGGGGCTAGAACAAATTTATGGGGGTCTAGATAGTGAGGCTTGGAGGATATGGATAATAGATCAGTAAAGTGATAACGCCTGCTCAGGGGAGTCTGCTAAACCAATTTGAGAGCAAAGTTGAAGGAGGGGTTGTGAATTCAACAGAGCAGACAGGGATTTTTTGCCACTCTGGAGGATCATTTACTCTGAATTCACTGATTTATTGTGGCTCAAAAAGGACAATGGACTACATCTAGAAAATTAGTACTTACTTTAGGATTCAACTGGCAGATTAATGGGAAATGGTCACTATCAAGGCAATTTCCAATATAAAATAAGTTATTAAAATATGTGGAAGTGGCTCAGACGGATACCTCCCTAATCACAGGAGTATAAGAAAGGAGAGGAAGTATAGCACAATCAGACTTGCAAGATTATAGTATTATAGCCATTCTCAGTAAAAGTAGTCACAGTCTTCCCGTGGAATTGATTCTTGTCTGTTCTATCTGGCGGGGCTGATAGAAGGGCTAAAGCCATGTTGGTTCATGTTATATCTAAACAAACTATATGATTCACTTAGCAGATTAAAACAATGACTGGATTCCAACGCACTGAACCACAAACTGGTTGACTCCATATTAACCTAGTTTAGTGTGCCAGTTAACAATCTGAAGGGAGGAATAAGAATGAAAGTATCTTTCCATTCTACTGCTATATAGTGCTTGTATCTGGAGCCTTATCCAATCTAGAACTGTATAGTACTACAGGGCAGTTTTATTGAGTGAAGTGATGTTGATAATTGATGATGATGATTCTCTTTCGTCTGTGAAAAGCTGCTGTTCAAGTGTGCATGGATCCAGGAACAGCAATTCTCCTGTAAGTTTATACTATGTTGAAAGTCCTAGTTATCGCCTCTAATCATGGAGCCAGACGGTGAATTCAGAAATAAGAGAGGGCCTTTCCAATATACGCTTCTGTTTATTCCAGCAGGCCCTAAGTATGTTAAAACATTAGGATTTTTAAATGTCATTTTCTTTTAATTTACAAACTAATAGAAACTTGTATGCTTGTGAAATATTTATATGGCTATACTTGTCAGAATGATTCACCTGATTTTACCTCTTGCTGCTTGCATTCAACTGTTTTATTTGGAGGACAGCTGTTTATTAAATCTTCTATGAATCTTGTATTCTGAATGATATTTTTGTAAAACTAAGCAAAAAATGCTTACAAAATGCTGTATAGGTAACATGACTGTAGCAGGTGCTGTGTTGATTTAATTACAATATATTTCCAGTTACTGAAATTACTGGTTTGTTGCACAGTACCTTCCAGATATTAGCTCAGCAGAACAAACTGTAGCTTCATTACATTGTGTGTACAGTGTCTATACATATGTATCATCCTGTACTAAGACCGTATTTATTTAGCAGAGACAATTGATAAAATTCTAAGAAACCGTTGTATACAAACCTTAACTCACACTTTACTTATGTGAAAAAATTTGGACTAAGATAAGTGGGCAACAACAACAACAAAAAGTAAGAGATTTGAATCATGTCCTTTACATCCCCTGTTTCTAATAGGTATAATCCAGCTGTTTGCTACTGTAGGCCAAGTGACTGAATTTGTGATCACATATATTTGCTTAGTAAATAATAGGCTAGGTTTGGGAACATTGTAGTGAAATTCCTGGAAAGTTGAGTAGGATGTTTTTGGTGAAAGAACTCTGACTCAACCTAGTACAAAACTGTAGAGCAATCAGAGCGCATTGTCATTAAATTGGTTTGTGTATGTGTGAGAGAGAGGGGAGAGAGAGAGAGGATGATATGAGTGTTGCAGGATGGAATAATATATTTTGTGTAATTTCACACCAGCTTTAGGAATAGTTATTACTCAGAACTGTTGCAAAGAATATACACTTGCATTAAAACAAGAGCATCAAAAGCCCGTATTGTATCTCATAATAAATATTTTTACAGCTAAATAAACATGTATATAATATACCTGCATGCACACAGTTATATTCTCCTGTTTGCAAACCTTTTGATAGGTTAGTGGAATAGCTGAAATCACCTCTTACTTAATACATTATGAGCATTATGAGCAGTAACAGATTTGATCTTCTCCATTTTTGTTTTGTAAATTGAAAATGGATGCAATCTGCTGCCATAAATTGGCACCAAGTAAATTTAATCAGCTGCTTCCTTTGCTAGAGGCTTTATCTGGGGAAGAAGAAATACCTTACTTTAAGTTGCTGCTACTAGATCAGAGTATTATTTTAAGGGTAGTAGGAGATTATTATAGTGCATACTATTTGAATAATAGATTAGACAATCTCTACATAGAGAAAGCAACTTGTTTAATGTTATGCCATATTAGACCTCCCCCACCAAACAGTTTTTTTCTAAACAACCTAGTACAGTTCATTGTTATAATTGATGCTAGTGGCCTATAGGAAGGTGAGCAACCTCTTTTTTTTTTTTTTTGCAACCCTAAAATCATTTTCAATCATGTTGCCACTTAAAAATGGAAAATGTAATATGACACCTAAAATAGGCTTAACACAATTAAGAAAAGAAAAATGTAACCCCCTGAAAGAAATCAGAAAAGAATATAGTCCTGTCCACTAAGCTTCACTGATCTACCCACTGGGCTCCCTTCTATCCCTATATACAGATATTCCTCTTTGCATACAGAGATTTTCTGCTATCGCTGGTCAGTCAAAATTGCTAGCTTGATAGGAACCAAATATTATAATTTATGACCTGCAAAATCATTTATTTGTAGCATATAGAGATATATATTCTCTATATGCTACAATATTAGAGATTTGGGTGTATGACCATATTAACCCTAACCCTAACCTTATATAATTGCTGGCTATATATTTGTATACTATAGTTAGCATAGACAGAACTGATAGAAGAAATTGGTTGATGAAACTTCGTAGAAGCATATAATCTCTACTTTTAATTCTGTCACTAGGAGTTCTACAGAACATGAAATTTTTAATATAAATTGTAATGGCAATTTGGAAAACTACTTTCTGTCTGTCATACTGTTTGCAAATGTAATTTGTTGTTTCTTTTTATATTCTTCAGTTATATTGACCAGGCTGGGAAAGACAGCTTTTGTTGTGATTTAATATGAATATATATCTCTATATGCTACAAATAAATGATTTTGCAAGTCATAAATTATGATATTTGGTTCCTATCAGAAGTACCCTTTCTCAGCCTGGCTTGGCAAAGGAGCCCATGAATTCCAGCATTCTGTTCCCCATTAGCCTGTTATAAGTTGAACTTTGTGTCCTGTCTTTTGACAGTGATTGCAAAATGTTCTGTTTCCATGTTCTATCCTTGACAAGGAATGTACCAAATTTAGTGTTCTGGATAGCCTGAAAAAGTTACCTTACATGTTTGTGGGAAAATGTTCGACTGCCATTCTGACCTTTATAATAAGTAGAATGCCTTGTGATAGGTATATTTCAATATTTACTGTCTGGTGGATCAGAAATTCCCTATTTTCAGAAACACTGTGGGAGAACAAAAAGTACATGTTTGTTGTAGTTGTTTTCATTTTTGTAACAGTGAGGTATCTTGGACATTTGCGAGTTCTTTTCATTCCATTTTAGCCTTCTGTGAGATTTATATGTATAAATAGAAAAGAAAAAAAAAGATGCCTATGAAGCACCACATTCCAGTGCTGTTTCATTTCTTAAAAATTGCTATGCTGAATACGAAATGGACTGTATTCCATCCTCTTTGTAGCCACCTATACTTTTTAAGCCATAAAAATAACGAAATAAGTGTCTAAATCAGAAGTTCAGATGCCTTCTAGAGAGCATAATAGGTTAATAGACTTCATAATTATATTTGAGAAAAAAAAGCAAAGCTAAGATTATAGGTTGCCGACCTTAGCAGCCCAATGTTTAGCATAGCTCCAGAGTCTATTTCTCTCCATCCAGACCCAAACAGTCTCCAGATACTGGGTTCAGTATCTCAACAGATTTACTTGCACAGCCTGGGCTTGAAATGCAAAGCTGGATATCATCAGCATACTGATGATACAAAATCCCAAACTGACAGATGACCTCACCCTGTGGTTTCCTGTAGATATTAAAACAGGAGGGGGATGAGTGTCAAACCCTGAGGCACCCCACAAGTAAGGGGCTGCGGGCACAATCTCTCACCTCCCATCAATACCAACTGGAACCAACTACTGAAGAACAAGGCAAACCACTGCAACACAGTACCTCCCATTCCTAATCCCTGCAGCCAGTCCAGAAGGATACTGTGGTTGACAGTATCAGAAGCTGCTGAGATATCAAGGGGGGGTGGGGGGGAAGGATGGATGTACCACCCCCATCCTGGCTCTGCCACAGGTCATCCACATGTGCAACCAATGCTGTCTCTGTATTATGCCTGGTCTGAAACCAGACTGAATTGGGTCCAGATAATTAGTTATTAGTTTTGAAGATTCAACACTCCATATATCAGCTGCAGTATAACAACAGGGAAAGGATACGTCTCCATCTCCTTCTTGTTAATGCTCAATAGCGTTTGTTTGGCCACTGTGTGAAACAAAAAGTTGGATGAACATTGACCATGACCCTTCCTGTTCCAGCATGGATATTATTATTAGGGCTGCAGTATCTGGACTACACAAATCTAGACAACGACTAAATGGCAGCAAAGAGATCTATAAAATATTAACTCTGCTGCTATCTACTGACTGCCTAGATTTTTGCAGCCCAGATAGCACTAATTCTTATTTCTTAGTCCTATAGAATGTTACAGAATATGAGTCGCTACAGAGTTAGCATGATACTGTAAAGTACTAGTATTGCTTCTGAAGTTATTCTGCCTGATTTTCTATTAATTCCTTGATGCCACTTGTCCCTACTCCTTTTTAGAGTTCATGATAAAATTAAAGGTTGCATTTTTATCTTGTTAAGCTGCTTTTTCCAAAAACTGATGCTCTAAGTTTTGAAAGCCATAAGCTGCCTATTTGGAGCACTTGGCAAGTGTGATGTGTTATGGCAGAGACCTGACTCAGATATGAATTTCAATAATAATTTATTTTTAAAAGTTACTTATGACTCACGCCTCCATTCTACTTTCTCCCAAGCTGCCAACCTGCTCAAGCATTCCTCTCCAGGTTATAGTGCTTATTAAAATGTCTCTGGCCACTGTTTTTTAATTTGGCAACTGCCTTCAAATAGTTCTAGCCAATGGCTAGTTTCTCAGAGAACAGCTTTGCTCTTCCAAAAATGATTAGTTTTCCCATACCATAAGGGGCTTTTTCGAAGAGAAGATAAACTTGATTCTCTGATGTAGCCATGAGGAAAGTTTCTGACATGCATAAATATGGGAAAGTAATAAAACATGCAGACAAAAACAAAACTAGAATGTTAAGACACAAAACTGACTAAAGATTGTGGCATTCAATTTCCTGTCTTGTCATTTTATCTAAGCCATAGCATTATTCTTATACAGCATCCATGCCCATAAGCAATATTGTATCATTTTCTGAAACCAGAAATGACAAATTACCTTTTAAATCTTGTACTAGGTGAATTAAAATAAATTAACTTTTTATTTCTCTCTAGTTTTGCTTATGGAGAGATTAAATCATTTTCTGAGATGGTAATTTTTTTCTGAGATTCAACTTTTCAAAACTTAAACAATAGACAATTTATAAAGAGTATGATATTCAACCCAAAATTACTTTAAATAGGATACATTGGGGCCTAACTCAAAGCATTTCTTAGAAGTGTTCCTATTGATCTACTGTGCCAATTTAAGGAGTCACAGTTCTTTCTATGAATACTGTTTGGTTTATTCCAGTTGGGTGTGAACACTGACAGTAGACAGATTGCCCACTTTGCTGTCATTTAGCCTACAGTCTGCAGTTACATGAGGACCTTTCCCACTGGGAGAAAATAAAATTCCAATACCTAGTGGCACACAGAGGAATTGGAGAGGTTGTGTGTGAGAGAGAAGGGGAAAGACGGAAATTACTGCTCAAATTCTCTAACTGAGCAGCCTGCACACTTTTTACGATCATTTGCCTTGTGCATCTGCAAGTACAAATTAAGCACACACACACAAACCTAGAAAGCATGCCTTTTCCATAGCAGTCCTGCTCAGTGGAACACCCTTCCCACCAGGATCTGGCAGGTCCCCACTGTTTAGCCTCCTAGAAGGCCATAAAGAGCAGGCTTTTCCCCCAGGGGTCGGGACAGAATAATGGTGGAGCTTGGGGATGGCTTTGCTGGTTGCATTGGACAAGGATGACTGAGGGACCAGGTTTGGGTTTTGTTGTTTTTATTTCTTTTGGGGGGGGGTTGTTTTGTTGTTCTTGTGAGGCATCCAGAGTTGTGTTTTTAAGAAGGGCAGCCATTATAAGTCGTAATAAATAGACACAGACAGACAGACAGACAACACACACACACGCACACACAAACAGATAGTAGGAGTATGGTAATCCAAAATCTAAATCTAAAATTACAATTACATATGCATGTCTCATGTGGCTGTTGTGCTAAATTAAGGCATAAAAAATCCAATATAAATCCCTATTTAGCTTTATCTGTGACTTTGTGCTAATCACTATCTCAGTGTAGCTTATGGATTGTTGGGTGGGGGGAATAGAAGAAAGGGGTCTATACATGCTGCTTTGAGTTTTTTAAGGAAAGGCAGCATAAACATGCAGCAAATAATGAATTAATGAAAAATGCTTTTTAGTTTGGTACTACATCACCAAACTGAAAATGTGAAATGCAGTTCATAAAATTAAATGTATGCAAGGGTGTGAAGCTCACTGCATCACTACCAGCACCACTCACTTTTCAAGTGAGACTTGTTCTGTCCATATTCAGTGTGAAGGCATGAATAGCTCAAGGTGTTTTGACTATAACATTTACTGAAAAAAAGAAGCAGCATAGAGTGCTTTGGTACATGGGCAGCCATATAAATATATTAAATAAAATAAAAGTTCAGTCATGCAGATCTATGTTTATACTTTTTAAGAATTACAAATACAGTTCCAGGAACTGAAGTAAGTCTTAGGCAATGTTACAGATAATATAGGGTTGGATGTTCAAGACAGCCATAATATACTGAAATCAGGAATCAACAGAATTGTTTGTACTCCATATCAAAGCCCTTTAAAAGTAGCTTATCAAAGCTTGCTCTGTCATTGAAAATGGGACACGTATTAAATAGCTACTCCATTTTTATCTCTTCTTTTTCAGTTAGCGCACAGTAATTTGCTAAGCACAAAAAACAAAAGTTTTTGCTAATTCTTCTGACAGTCACATCTATGTATGTAAATACATCATAGGCCTTATGGCTATAGTCACTTAAAAACGTGCTGCTTTGATCACATGAAAAGCAGCTGCTGCGTAGAAGTGCCAATTCACAGGAATGGCCCTTCTCAATAATACAGCCTAGCCTTGGACTTACTGGTAGCCTGGCATGTTCCCAAATCCTTTGAACTTTGTTTATTAGCCATACAATAGCAGGATCCTGATCTGAAGGAAAAGGATTTTACATCACCTGAAGCTGGAGTAATATTCTCTGAGGATATACGTCCCCTCCAGATACTAGGTAATGCCATCCCAGTTGGCTTCTGTTTACTTGTATATTTTGATTTGGTTTTTTGGTTTTTTACTGGAGACCATTTCAAATGGTCTCCAACTTTGTTCAGATAAAAATTGCCTAGCCTCTCTCTGTTTCTCCACTTATCAAAGACTTTGTGTGGGGTTTTTTTTGTTTTTGTTTTTTATGTCAGAAGTGGGTTCAAACTAACAACTGGGTTTTCTAGTTCTTAAAAAAACTCTGTTTGATCACTGTTTCCTTCTTCAGTCTAGCAGACTTTAGCATAGTTTTGAGTACATCCTGAAATCCTCTTAGCCTCAGTACCTGCAGGGAAGTTCCTTAAGACAATGAATGTATTCACATAATGTTTTAATCATAACTTTGTTAATCAGTGATTGTGGCCTAGAGGACTCACGGCCTCTCACTCCTTCCATGTGCAGGTTGTATGGCATGGCTTGTGAACTACTTACTATATTTTGGTAAGTAAAAAACAGTTAGTAAACATTTTAGTAAAAAAGTTTTAAGTATCTTGTCTACAGACAGGACACTTGTTCAAGTGTATCCATCTATCCATGTATCCATTCATGTCTTTGTGCTAAATTCATTTTAGATTAAGCTAACTCACTGGAGTTGCATTTAGATGATACACTTAAAAATTTTGCAGACTGTAAACAGAAATTTACAAGTCATGTTAATAATTTTCTAACTGGGAGTTTTTCATACTTACTTATTTTACAAGTAAGCAATTAAGTAACCGTGCAGCTTGTAACTAAATACAGACTCCATGGTTTGCACATCAGTCTTTTTTCTTCTCTTTTTCCTTTGTTTACATCTTGTTTGGCAATGAGTTCTTGAAAACCACAAAATTGCACATTTTTGGTAACCTTGAGCTATCCTAATAAAATTAATGCTTTAATATGGGTTTTGGAATTTAGCTTATTTAATGAAATAATAGAAAAGATGATTTGAATGTATATTAAAGTTTTTGCTTAAGTTCTCGTTATTACTAGAAATTTGATTTTTATTTGATTCATTTCAAAAATGCAAATTACTTCACAGAATAGTATGGTACCTGCTCTGGAAGAGTCTAAACCAGTGTTCCTCAACCTCAGCAAATTTAAGATATGTGGACTTCAAATCCCCGCGGTTCCCCC